CAGTGCATACATCTGTGAATTGGCTGTAGTTGCGCCTAGAAAGCAGACGTCCCTTCTTTTTCTTAACATGCATACTCTTTTTACATGGTATCAAAAACTCACAGAAAACGGCTTTATGATCTGAAAAGCCTGAATTCTGAACAGAACAATTATGTGGACCATCACAAAAATTAGATCATACATAATCCAAAATTGATGCTGTTTGACTCTTGTATGACTATCAACATGCATGGACAGACCAAACGAGTTAAACAAGTATTTGAGTGCTTGGACATTAACATTTTCAGAACATTCATAATCTATATTGACATCACCAACAAGAATCACAGATGCATGCCCCGATGACAACTGAGACAATATAACTTCCCATTTATACAAAAACACTTCACAGTTAGTTTTGGGCACCCAATAACCCTGACCTCTCACTTTTGGATATATTTCTTTGGGGTCACCTAAACAATGTAGCATACCAACAAAGAAACCAGAATAATGAAAAAGTCATGGAAAAAATTGTTAATAGAATAAATCGAACAGAAATTTTAGACAGGCTTCAAAGAGGATATCGTTGTTGTTTCGAGAACAACGGGGGTCATATTGAAGACCTTGCTTTTAAAAAACAGTTCAAAAACAGAGAGTGACTTTTAAGTTCAAATAATTTTTTGTTACCATTTTTGAATTCTCCAGAAAAAATATTCCAATTAGCGATTTGTTTCAAAAATGAGCCCCTGTTCAGTCTGAGTTGGAACACCCTGTACATTGGGAAACTATCTCCATTTTTGGTAGTTCAATTCTTTTGGAATAGCTCGTATTCCTCTACAGGTATATGGGTTTATTAATGCAGGAGTTTCTACAACCAGTGGCGTAGGCCAGCCGGAAAATGGTTTGAGTGCCATTTCGTTTCAAAAAATTGTTTTCTCTGAAGTCTTTTGTGGGAGGAGGCAAATGCCCCCTTGCCCCCCTCTCCCTGGGTACGCCACTGTCTACAACTAAGATGAAAGTTTTATTTATCCGTTTCATGTAACTTTTCCATAAGTTCAAATTTTAGTACTACATGATCAGGAATTGAGCAATTAGCTTTTTATAAGCTGAGGAAAGTTCGCTCTGCCTTCAACCACTCATTGTTTACCCAAATGAATTTTGACTTTCAGGACTTTTTCCCTTTTTTTGTAGGTACTGTAGTAGTTTTTTAAGTATAAGATTGACTGTGATACAATTTAGATAGTGATTATTGTTAGGCGTTGTAAAGAGGTAAGTTGTTTGAGTTAATTAGTGAAGTAATTAGTGTCAGAGTGTGTAGTAACGTGGAATAAGTTATTGTGGTATTAAGTGGACCTTGATTTTGGAATAAGAACCCAAGATTTATGTTACGCACACCAGATCCGTGACATTGGTGTCGGAAGTGAGATATAATTCGAGGACTGCAAAGTGAAATTCGATTGCAGAATAGTGCGCGGACATGAGTGTGGACACTATAGTAAACCCTGGGATAGTTAATCAGCGTAAGCAGTGACAATCACCAAAAGAAACTCAACCGATTGTGTAAATTACCCCAGAAGTGACTGTATACCCAATTTTGACTGTTATAGAGAATTTTCAAGTAAGTTCCAGAAAATTATATTTGGAAATCAAGGGAGATATCGAATTTGTGACTTCACCAACGTATTTGATACATCAATCGTCATTCAGAAAAAGAATTTCGAGGAATTTCGGGAAAATTCTAGAACATGCTATTAAGAAACCAACGGAGATTTCGAATTTGTGACTCCACCGACGTGTTTGGAACTTCAATCAAAGACCAGGAAAGATATTTGAAGAGAGTTTGAGGGAAATTCAAGAACATTCTGTATATGCCTATTACGAGACAACAAGCAAAAATGGAAGAACAAAAAGTTGAAGAATTTTTGCGCAAAATGTTAGAACATCAAGACACCAGACCATAACAAGAAAAACAAGATCCAGGAAAAGTAGCGAAGCACTTGTCCGAGCATTGGCACTTACTTATATACTAACGTATACCACTAAAGTGCGACGACCGAGCCGTGTAACATGGGAGGCTGCCATTTTGACCTATATTTTTAGCGGGAATTTCAAAAATGACATCTTTATAAATAACTGTTATAAATTTAGGTGTCGAGCACCTCAGAATAATGTTGCCAAAATAATATACCTACACACACTTTATAATTCATTTTCGAAAAAATACGTTAAAGTACACAAAACCAATTGAAAATCACAATCAACATATTTATAAACAAAACAGTAAACCATTATTTAAAATTAGTGTTAAAGCACATTGTCAAATGTCAATAACGCAGGACATTATTACAGGCCGTGTTCGTTTTTGCCATCATTCTCGTCGATTTGCTCCGAAACTTTGACAGGCACGTGACTGGATCAGACAGTCTCAATTTACAGATCACGCGCCTGTCAAAATTTCGGAGCAAATCGACGAAAAAGATGACAAAAACGAACACGGCTACAGTCGTCTGTAACATTTATAGCGAATTCCCTTGGAAGGGTTAGTGCGCACTGAGTGTATTCGTGTCTTTTTCTACCAGCTTATGTAAGAAAAAGATAAAAATACATTTTGTCTGCACTTTTCGTACCAACGGAATTCGCTATATTATTTTATTAATGTCGAAGCATAGGTCAAAATGGCCGATTCTTCTATCTTCTTTTATTCCGATGCGCAGAAAGATGCGCAGTCGTCTTTGAGCGGTAAACGTTAGTATATATGTATGTGATTGGCACTGGAAGCAATCTTTGGTGCCTCACGACCCAGAATACGAGCAGTGTCCATTGAAGACCTAAAGGATAAACAATCGACAAAAGAAGATGGCAGCTTCGAGAATCTTATGAGTAAGTTCATGGAGAAAATGGAGAAACTAGTACTACAGATTACACAAATGGAAAACGACTCCTAACAAACACCAACACCGAGAAACCTAATAAAATTTTACCGGTGCCATAAGCTCGATTGGATCAATGGGATTGTGGACTAAGGGATGTCCTCTCCATCTAGGGATGCGCTCAACGCTTTTGGAGATCAAGAGACGCCAACCCTAAATATCGACCTGGAAATATGCATGAGAAAAACCCTGGCGCAGCTGTGAGAAGAACGGGTCTTATCGTTGATGTTAAATGGACTACCAAACAAATGAGAGAAGAGTAAGAGGCAGACCAGGACATCGAGAAAATTCTACATATTAAAGAAATTGATGAATGTAGGCCAGAATGCAGGGAAGTGTCGAACAAGAGTTTGATTTACAAAGCATTGTGAGCTCGGTGGAACTCTCTGGCCATAGAAAATGGTTTACTTAAAAGAATTTGGGAAAGTGACGATCGGAAAACTACTAAGAACCTACTGGTTATTCCAAAAGATCGAGTAGAAGATGTATTGGGAGAAATACATGACGGAACTTCAGGGACACATTTTGGAGTTAATAAGACTTTGGACAAAATTCGGGAACGTTTTTACTGGGTTCACTATCATGAAGACGTTAAAAACTGTTGCCAAAAATGCGACATCTGTGCTATCAGTAAAGGCCCTAAACTAAGATCTCGGGGGCCCATGAAACAGTACAGCGTCGGACTCCCATTTGAACGAATAGCGATAGATGTTGCCGGACCGTTCCCTGAATCAGAGCGTGGTAGAAATTTTCGCTATTCCCAATCAAGAAGCCATCACTATTGCCCAGGTGCTAGTGGACGAAGTTTTTAGTCGTCATGGTGTGTCACTAAAGTTGCATTCCGATCAGGGACGAAATTTTGAATCTGCCATCTTTAAGAAAATTTGTGAGATCATGGGCATTCGTAAAGACGAGGACAACACCTCTATATGCACAGTCTGATGACATGCTAGAACGATTTAATAAGACCATAGAGGAACACCTGACAAAAGTGGTCGCAAAGAACCAGCGAGAGTGGGACAAACACTTGCCTTTATTTTTAATGGCTTACAGAGCAGCTGTTCACGAGTCAACAGGTGAAAGTCCAGCTAGAATGGAAGGGAACTCAGGTTACCTTGCGATTTGATGATGGGAATACACGGTTTAGCTCGGGAGCATATTCAGCTGGCCAGTGACCGAATGAAGACCAGATACAACTTGAAAGCCAATTTAGCCGGATTTCGAGAAGGTGATTTAGTGTGGCTGTATAATCCAGCAGAAAAGAAAGGAGTGTCGCCGAAATTGCCTTCAGCATGGGAAGGACCCTACAGAATAATCAAGAGGATCAATGATTTGGTTTATCGAGTTCAGCGCAACACCTGGAGTAAGATGAAAGTTGTACATTTGGACAGATTGACGAAATATCATGGACGCGAAGTTGATCGGGCCGATCAACCTTAAGAGGAGGGCAATGTGGCGCGTTTGCCAGCAAGTACAGAATCTAACTTGGAATCTGGAAAATACTGGCTTTATTCTGGTAAAAAGATTATCGCGTTTTTTTTGGATTCCACACGAATAGATTGCGGATATATAAAGGCCGGTATTAGTTAGTAGTATAAGATTGACTGTGATATGATTTAGATAGTGATTATTGTTATGATTTGTAAAGAGTTTAGTTGTTTGAGTTAATTAGTGTCAGAGTATGTAGTAACGTGGAATAAATTATTGTTGTGTTAATTAATTGTTAATGTGTTGTGATTTTGGAATAAACGAACCCAAGATTTATGTCACGCACACCAGAGCCGTGACAGTACATCTACTTCTATTTCTTGCTTTATTTTTTTGGCCTAAGGTTTGATTACTTTTTATCTGGATTTTACTTCTTCTGGTTGCCTGTTTCGATGCCCTCCTTTTTCCTAGGAAAAACTGATTGTCATTCAATCATCATCCTTCTCTGTAAAGTCAGGTTTTCCTGAACTTTCAAGTTTCTATTTTGTCTGGTGCTGACTAAATTATAAAGTTTTCATGATCATCCTCCATCAATATATACTCTTATGTTGCCGGCTTTAAACACTCTTTTTATAACCTAGTAACACAAATATACCCTTATAGGCTACTACGAAAAACTCCGAAGTAAACAAAAATTCGGCAGCGAAAGAGTTCCATCACAATACTATAGTACACGTCAAAGCTTGCAAAGAAAACGTCGTAACAGTCACACAGGTATAGGAGGTATTTCCTCTCTAACAAATGAAGACTTGGTAGCTCTCCACAACGCCCAAATGTGTTTGGCAGGTGGAAAGCTGTCAGCTATGGATATGGAGTTACTTAAGCTGGCCACGCGCAACGATTATGCAGGTTTCGATGCTTTGAAAGAGGCAATTTGTGGAGCTAATTTAACTGAAAATATTAGAGAGTATTGGAGTGGGACTAGACAGGTTGGAATGATGGAACAAGGTAAGGAACTTGTTGGGCAGTGATGGTTTCCTAATAATTTGTCATTTTGTTTAGGTCTTCAAAAAGTCCAATCAGCAATAACGACAGGGGCTTGCACAGAAGCTTTGTCAGTCAAAAAATCAGCAGAAATTGCTGCACTATTTGCTGATATTAAGCTCAGCCAAACTACCGATATCACTCATTTGGCACCTGCTGGATTTGACATTAACAGAAGAAATAATTATAATGTGGAAAAATCTATACATGCAAAATATAGGTAAAATCAGACTGTTGTGTTATGAAATATATGTATCATTGTTTCTTTTTTAGTAAACCAAATAAAGTTCCGTCATCTAGATCATCGGACAATAGCAAATCTATTCAATACCATCACAAATCGGCGATGTCCAATAATGCCTATGCCAGACCCAATTCGATTAAAAATAAATCGAAATTATATTCAGCTAAAAATGGTTTGTACACTATACAAAGCCAATCCGATGAAAGTCGTCATAGTGGTAGTAGAAGGTCGAGTTTGAGTGGAGAAGGTTCTAGAAAATTATCAGGAGAAAAAGATAGATATGGTAGCAAGAGGAATATTAGTTCTAATATTGAGAATTCGTTAGGGTATTTGCCTTAAAAATATATATTTATGTAGGTTTATTTTCAAGCTTTTTTCCTGAGTATACTGAGAAATATTAGGTAGACTGTTAAGTGAATTTCATATTGCTATATATTTTTGGGAAATCAAGTTATAAAGGCGAAAATTAATTTGATATTTCACTAAGAGGATAAGAATGTTATTGTAGATTATAGAAAATTCTTGCCTTCTTGTCTGAAAAATATTTTATAACAATTAAGTAAATTATTGTTTTCCAAATGTTTTAACTCGGTTTTTAATATTAGGATAAAATTAATAAATATTACATTATAATATAGAAATTAATTTACTTTATAAATGGAAACACGTTTGTGATTTCTGACAATAATTTGTGCAATATTTAAAAACAAGTGATACATTATTTTATTCTTTTTGTAAATACTAAATGCCATATTAAATAAGAAAGTGCTAAAAAAAATACTGAGTATATTTTGGGAAATGTGCAATTTTATGTAACTTGGGTGCAATATATTTTTCAGCCAGAAACTCACAGTGTATTACCTAAGTATGTAGGTTGAAAATCCTGGAAACAAAATAACAATGTTATTTAGCTTCGGGATTTTTATCAAAAAAACATTTTGTACAAATTTTATTAGGTTTTTGGTAATATCATGAGGTTTTTGGTTGGATCGGTGTTAGTGCAATATTACATTGTATAAACTATGTTTTTCCTTCTGCAACTTTCAAATTGATATTTTAATGCTAAATAATAAAAATTAAAATTAATAGTTTTGTTTTATTTTCATAAATACATTACGAAGTTAGTTTTCCTACAACTTGATTTGAAAATTGTGTAGCATCCGCATAAAGTAGGCGTTGGGCAGCTACTTACTCTAAAATAAAATTGTGGGGGCAGGTCTATTTGCAAGTGAGAGAAACAACTGCTATAGGTACGGTTATCCATTATTCAATATTCTTTATTCAAGAAAATGAACAGAGCTTTTCCAAATTACAATTGTACAATTTTTATACCCTAATCCAAAACCTTTCTAAAACAAAAATAGACAATTCTAAATGATGCTAACTTACAGCCTATACTATCTCTGAGCTTGTAATTGAAATGTTACAATCAAGAGCCTTGTACTTGAATAACTCTTTTATAGAGCCCTAATATATTAGGTTACAGTATTTTTAACCAAAACTCCTACACGTCAAAATAATTTTTAAAACGTCCAATTCTATAAGCGTATAGAAACCTCTGATTTCGCTGACTGCCAAATTTGTACAAAGCTTTACGCAAAATTGAAACCTCAGCCAGAGTGAATACTATTACAAAACAGGAAACATATTAATTAATTCTTTACGATCTACACTCAGACATATCAACAGACATTTAATTCAAATTCTTAGAGTTCAAAATATTTAACTATAATCATTAATTCAATGTTCATTAATTCTCTTCATTAGACAGAGCTCACTGATTCAATAGCCATTAAAATTTCCTATTTATACTGAACAAAAAAAAAGTATTCAAAAGTTCACTAAAGTTATTAACATATTTGCGAAGTCCCATTGTCAATTCACTTACTTCATGGTCATTTTAATCATTGATAAAGTCAAATAAACATATCACTAGAGTACTTACATTCCGTCCTTAAAACACTAAACTAATCTAAAATAATGCTTTTGATTAGAGCTCGCACATGATGTTGAACGAATTTAAATTTTCTCTCTTTCACATTTTTCCGTTACTCTTTCAAGTTCGATTTGACGCGTTTTCCCGAGGCAACAAAACAGAAGAAATTTTTCACGAATTTTATCCGGACTGACTCATTAATCTTACTGTAGACTCAAGACTCTAAGCTGAAGACTGAACTGGTTCCAAAATTCCGAAACCGCTGTTTTTATATTTTTCGATCCCCCAAAAAATTTCGGGTCATGTACATTCATCAACCTTCCTCTTTTCTAAGAAATATAATTATTTGTCTTAAACCGTATTTGTCGCAATTTCCCGGCTTATCGGGTTCAAAAGATTTGAAAGAATGTCGAGGAGACCTAACTCAAAGAAAAGCCGCACTCGTGCCGGCCGTAAATCATGTTTTTTTTATAATTCTGTCATTTTGAGTCCCAATTTAATTACTTTTGCTGTGATTTTAATATTTTTATGGATTTGATTTACGAGTTCAATGTGATGACACACGCCTGATGACTGGTTATTGAAATTCGAATGTAGTTTAGATATTTGTGTCGTTGCTAAATTTAGAAAATTAGAACGTTTCTTTCAATTTTGGAGATTCAATTTATAGTCTTCAATTCAATTTATAGGCTTTGTGCTGTTAAAGAAGGTTTGTTACAGAGACAAAAAATTAATACAGATTACTTTAATAAAACTGCAACAGATCTTAAACCATTGAAGGATGATCAAAATATTATGATATATAACCATGTTGATAAATACTGGAAGCCAGGAAAAATTGTACAACAACATAGCTCACCAAGATCCTATCAAATTTTAAATCGTTCGGATGATGTATTACGAAGAAATAGGTTAGATCTTAAGTTATCGTATAATGAATTTGTCTCTTAAACAAGACTTTAAAACCACTAATTCCAAAGATTATTTTGGTGCTGATAACAAAAATGATGAAAGTGACAGTGTCAGTGTTCAGTCCAGTAGTGAGCCCAGTGTTCCCCAAATGAAGACTTAGTCTGGTCGAGTAATTAAAACCCCTGTAAAACTTTATTTGTAGTTGAACTATTGCTGTTCGTAGAGTAAGCATTTGTTTATATTTTGTTATCTGTTTTGAGTTGTTCTATTGTAAGAAAGGGAAGATGTATCATAAAGTGTTGCCACCTGTTGCTACATGATGCAGCCATAGTGTCGCGCCATCACCTAGTGATGGGTGAGCAATGCACTGATAGGTTTTCATGCCTAGAAGGCAGGGTTGGACGAACTTCTGGAAGTGGGCCGGGAAATTTCAGTCTAGCAGCCCATACATTGATCGATTCATGTGGCACATTATTACCCCTAGAGGTGATCTAATAATATTCAAGTTCATTATCACCAGCGCATCTGAATTTTCCATTGTAAAACCCGTATTACATCTGTGTATTTTTCCGTGTATTTATTCATGTAGTTCAGGGTGCCAACATTATTTTGTTTTTCATAATGTTGATTTATGGTGCGATTGAAGTTTTTTGGTTGTCACCCTGAACTACATGAATAAATACACAGAAAAATACACAGATGTAATACGCGCATAAGTCGATTCCTTCATCGATTTCTTAGCATAATATACATAATATAACCTTGAACCACGAATTCACCGCTTTTTCGGATCTGTATGCTGGTGATCTGTGACCAAACATTGTTTGCAGCGTAAATGTGAAGAACATTTAGAAAGTTCTGATTCATTCCCTGTATCATCTTTATCTTTATCGTTAAATTCAGGAAGGTCATACCGTCCTTTTCAAGTTGAACCAAATCCAAGCGGCAGTAATGACATTAAATAACCTGAATTGTAAACAAACACCAGCTGGTAATTCAACCTTTCTATTCATTGGAACGCCCTACCAGGACCAGTGCGCATGCATGTAGGACATTTGATAGGTTGTAATGAGAATGACCAGTTAAGTCATTACTGCTGCTTGGATTTGGATCAACTATAGGTACCTGATTTTATTCAAAGCAGCGTCTGGCATTAGTTCGGAAAAATTATTTGTATCCAAACCTACAAAATCAGCACAAATATCTCCATGCCTCAAATAAGATGCCTCTTTTTTTGTTATGATGCGATCCATGGCCACATCGTGTGATATTCCACCTCCAATTTAAAACAGCAGTAGCTGGAGGAGTATCATCTCTGCTGCCTCCCTTGGCATCTTCTTTTATCTTTTTTCCATTAGGACGAATTGCTGGTAATAAGGTTTTGAATTATAACGTCATTTTCATTTGCTTCCAGTCCTGTATCAGCCCAACTGGAACACATTTTAGCACTCTTTAGTACTTCTTCCATGTTGTGTTGTTCCTTTTTCAGTGCATCATAAGTTGAATTGACCATTCTTTGTGCTTTCGGTTTGTTCTCACAGAAATCACAAACCAGTCAGACTCAGAGACAATTTCATTCGTTGAAAATAGTCAGAAAACTGTATGTTGGCGCTTTGCACCAATCTAAAATGCTCTGACTGGTTTGTGATTTCTGTAAGAACAGACCTTATTGAAGCCGCTGTTTGATGGTAACTTGTTAAAGGTTCTGTGGTTTCAAAGATCGGCCCACTCTCCGATCGGCCCACCGGGAATTTCCCGGTATCCCGGTGGGTTCATCCAACCCTGCTAGAAGGGTACCCGCAATTGATAAAACCTGGTACGTCATTGTGACCAACATGAGACGCTGGATTTTCAGTCATTAAATACTATTCTGGCAATACTAGTAGTTTAATTGAAAACTCCCAAGGATAATAGAAACAAAACAAAAAAAAAGTATTCAAAAGTTCACTCAAGTGAATAACATATTTGCAAAGTCCCATAGTCTGATTGTCAATTCACTTACTTCATAGTCATTTTAACATTGATAAACTCAAACAAACATGTCACTAGAGTACTTACATTCTGTCCTTAAAACACTAAACTAATCTAAAATAATTCTTTTGACTATTTAGAGCTCGCACATAATCTTGAACGAATTTTGAATTTTCTTTTTTTCACAATTTTCCGTTACTTTTTCAAGATTCAATTCAACGCCTTTTTTCCGAGGCAACAAAACTAAAGAAACTCTTCACGAATTTTATCCGGACTGACTCATTAATCTTACTGTAGTATCAAGACTCTAAGCTCATCTGAACTGAAGGCTGAACTGTTCCAAAATTCCGAAATCGCTGTTTTTATATTTTTGGATCCCCCAAAAAATTTTGGGTCATGTACATTCATCAACCTTCCTCTTTTCTAATAAATATAATTATTTGTCTTGAACCGTATATGTCGCAACTTCCCGGATTATCGGATTCAACAGATTTGAAAGAATGTGGATCAAAGAAAAGCCGCACTCGTGCCGGCCGTAAATCATTGTTTTATTATAATTCTGTCATTTTGAGATCCAATTTAATTACTTTTGCCTTGATTTTAATATTCTTATGGATTTGATTTACGAGTTCAATGTGATGACACACGCTTGATGACTGGCTATTGAAATTTGAACGTAGTTTAAATATTTTAATTAATTTGTGTCAATGCTAAATTTAAAAAATTAGAACTTTTCTTTTAATTTTGGAGATTCAATTTATAGTCTTTTTAAAGTCAATTGAAACAAGGTGAAAATAAATTGCAACTGGTGGCTGACTAGTGGCAGTGCATTTCTTATGAAAGTATTCAATCGACAGTCAGCCACCAGTTGAGTTATGTTTTTGTTTTAACTGACTTTAAAAAGACTATACATTAGATTATTTGATTCAGTTTACATTATTTGATAAGGTACGTTTAATTGTTTTTTTTTGTATTTTAAGTCCTTGTAAATTACGGGTGTATTTTTCCCGGATCATTACATTTGTAACACTGTAAAAACGTATTCATTATTCATTTTCAAAGCTTGTAGGGTCAATAAAATAAATGATGATTTCAATTCCATAATCTTTATTTCACATATACGTTATACGTTTCCATAAAATATTTCTTTGCTACAAACAAACTCTATACATATAAGCAACACCAAATTTAGGGATTTCGGGTAAATGTTACAAGGTAATTCAAAAATGGTTTCCATTGTTTCCTGGTCCTATTAGAAAAGATGTTTCTAAGTAAGTTATTATTTTTTTTGAAGCATTATTCTTAATTTAAAATAGTTAATATAGAGTCCAATTGAATTTTCAGCATTTTTGAAGATGGGGTTTGAACCTTCAATGAAGTAACTTATGTCGAAATTACCCAAGAAACAAAATGACGTGAAGATCTGTGGACGTCCTCGAATGCGACTTGTAGTTCATAGCAGAACATTTTATGGACTCCACTTTTGTACTAATTTGATGGATTGAGCCACCAGGATTTTCTTTCAGGCTACTGAGATGATAAACAAACCAACCTAAGGACTCAACTTCAACGAAATTCCACAGAAATTGATACAAGAACTGAGCGGAGTACCCAGATTAGAGGAGGTTGAAAAATCAGAAAACTAAAGAACAATAAGTCAGCTGGCTATGACTGCTGCAACCCCACATTAAGTGCCCAAAGAAAGCCCCACATTAAGTGCCCAAACCCACATTGTAATAAGTAAAATATAGATTACCGAGACCATACCGGCCAAAATTAGAGATTCATCTATAGGAGCTATTTTTAGAAAGGTAGACAACGCTCAATGTGGAAACTATAAAGGAATATCTTTACTTTTTGTTGAGGGAAAGATACTTAATTGCTAGAGGATATTATCAAATCGTCTAACTGCTGAAGAGAATCTTCCAGAGACACAGTGTGCCTTTGAACCCAACCGAGGTACAGCTGATCTGATTTTCAAATGCAAGAGAAATCCAAAGAACAAAATCGCCCTGTATACATGGCCTTCATAGATTTACTGAAAGCATTTGAGTCGGTTAACAGAGAAGCTCTTTGGAAGATATTAGCTTTGTATTGGTTCGACATTTGGAATGGATCTGGGAGTGCGCAGAACTGCTTGCGCACAAATAATTATGGAGAATTATTTTGATACCAATTCGGAATCAAAAAAACTAAAACAAGGCGCAAATAATAAAAATTCCAAAACAGTTCCTCCTTCACAGCAAGAATTGAGAGAACTGTTCAAGAAAAATTCCAGAATTGTTCTTATGTAGTTCTAAATAAACCAAAACCCTGTCAATACAGTTCGATTAGAATTCTGTAAAAAATAAAAAAGCGTTTAATAACATGCGCATGTGCAGAATGATTCCGAACTAGTTCTGAGTGGAACCAAAACAAATAAAGTGGAAGTCCTGTACAGACTTGAAGGCAGCTTATTCAAGCTAAACAGATTACGAGCGAATACGAAACTATCGACGACATCGATAATTGAACTTCAATATGCGGATGATAACGTCGTAAATTCGTGATGGCCAATACAATCTTCAATGTATTCAACCAAGCATGGCATACAGGAGAATCGGTGAATCGGTCTAGAGGTCAACTTTAACAAGACGCAGAATCTGCACCAACCCGCACCGAGCACTCATTTTCAAGCCCCAAATAACTATCAATGGCCATTCTCTGCAGAACGTAGAACACTACCCATTCCTTAGGAGCCATCTGTCAGCAAATACAACCATTGACGCTGAAATACAACATCGCTTTAACTGCGCGGTGTTCGGGCGACTTCTAGAGAGAGTCTTCAACAATCACGAAATCAGCGCTGAGACCAAGGCTCGCGTCTAAAATGCAGTTGTATGGCTGCGAAACATGACCGACGAACAGCAGACACAAGACCGAAAAGGGGGACCGCACGGAGGAACGAAAGAACAGAGGGAGAGTTAATGCTGCCAGAAGTTGGGTGTGCCAAGACTGTAGAAGAGTGTGCGGCTCCAGAATTGGTTCATGTAGCCATCAGAAAACACACAATCGGCGATAATAACCATAGAATAGAAGATAATCATACTTGGTATCTAGTAATAATAGGTTGTTTTTCCTTAAGATGATTGTCGAAAAACTGATTCAAAAAGCGACTCCTGCCACCCAGAATCTTTGCGACATTCATATAACGTTGTTAACAGTAGTCAATGAATGTGGATTATTTTGAGAAAATATACAATATCTGGGGTTTTGAAATCTTAAGTCGTCAAACTTGGGTAGGTACCTACATACATACTCATTTGATGGCTGTGAATAAATACACGCCATTCATACAATAACACCAATTTGACAGTTAAGCGCATTATTTTGCATTCTGTTCTATAACAATTTAAGCTAGGAAAATAGTGATCTACTTTTTGTATAAGGTACTCATAAGCTTTAAGTAGCTCTAGGAACATTTATAGCACATACAACTTTATGTTCTTTATGTTATACATAAATAGAATTTTTTTTGTAAAAAAATAATACTGCTTCACATTTCACATACAAAAATACGTCAACATTTAACTAATTTGAATCTTTTAACAATAATTACCAACTTTTAAAGGGCTAGGCTGAAACTAGATAATATAAATTGAAGTTACAGCAACAGTCACGAGTTTGGTATTAAGTTCATTTTTATTCCAAAACATCCTCAGTCAAGTTATGCCACTGATCATGTCTATGATCCGGATATCTGATCATATCTAGCCAATGCTTCAGCCTTTGACCTATATTTGAAAGAAAATACATTAATTTATCCACATAGAAGGGGCACAAATTATCAATAGAGATATTTTAAGCCAGTAAAAACAGTTAGCAGAAATCTAGAAATTTTAGCAATAGCAAAGGTACAAAGTTGACGTTCATCCACAAAAATGGCGATAAGAAAGTAACAAACTATAGAATTCAAAATATCTCTAATGATTTTTCATAGTTGACTTCTAATAGTTCCAATTTTTACCTTTTGATCCTGATCCACCCAAAATCAATCCACCCAAATAATCATTACTTTTTCCATAATCCTTGTCGAAAACTGTAATGTAAAGGCTTTGCATGTAGAGCTCAGTGGGTCGAGTTTCGAAAGCAAATTCTTCATTATAAATTGGATTCAGATTTTTCCATTTCACTGAAGTTTTGTGTTTTCTATGGTAAGGATCAGGCTTGAGTTGTCTAGAACATAAATGGAATCTTAATCTTTTGTTAATTTCCGAAACGACACATTGAACTCTAATTTGACTTTCTCAACAAACTATTCTTGAATATTTATAATATAAATTAGCTGTCAGCAACACTTGCAACATTTTTTGATGTGAAATATTTGAAAAAATAAATCAGTGACGTCACAGAAATATTTTGAAACTTTAGGTGTTTACTGTTTAGCATTTTAATCATAATTTTCACGATTTCTCCATGCCCCAAAATGGTTCTTTATTTTTTATTTGAAAATGGCGCATCTTTCAGGAAAAAGTGTAGAGATCAAATTTGTTCCAAATTGAATGAGGATATCAAAAATGATTTTTATTTTAGAAAAAAGTAGTGGCGCACCATTTTCTTCTTGAAAAATATTCCATACAAATCTGGTACGGAGATCACTGATAATTTAAAAAAAAAATAATTTCATATCAAAACATGTCTTTTGCTGCTTGAAAGCAGTGTACAAAATCTCAATGAAATATCTAGAGTGGTTTGAAAGTTATGATAGAAAATTAGTTTTTTTCTTAGAATTTCAACACCCTGTATCTCGGAAAAAAAAGCGCTTCCGGACATATGTTTATATAGGAAACTAGGGTTTATATGCGACGTAGAATATGCCATAAAAATTTGGTGCATTAATTTCGGAACACCTTGTATATAGCTTATCGATGAGATCGATGCGGTTGAAGACCTCAATGTATCTTTGTGCCGTGATTAATTTCAAAGTGTACTTACAACTTTACGAAAGGATCGGAAAATCCATTATTATCCATTGGTAGCAAGTTGGCACACTTTTTGATAGTCACTAACAAAGCTCGTTTTTTGGTAGAATAGCAAAGAGATATCAGAATTTGCCCTCGTGACCACAAATCGAAGTCAAACCATTGGTTGAGTTCCGGGGCTGGTAAAGGACCTTTTTGTTCTGGACGTAGGTTTTCTAAGGGGACTGTTAACTGAAAAAAAAAACGTTTAAACCAAACTAACAATAAATTATAGGTACTTAAAAATTAATAGGAATTTTTAAACTTTTATTCGCGTTTCAAAACATAAAATTTTATTATACAAAGCAATAAATTCTTTCCTATCAACTCTTTAATAAATGGTTGCCTCGTTACCACTTGAATAATTGTGAATATTTTCATTATTCTCTGTACCTAACTTGAAGTTTAATTTGTTGCAATCAACAATTAACTAATAATTGGAATTTGTTTCACTTACATAAATTGTATTTTGTACACGGAGTTTTGCCAATTTTATTCGCACTTCACCCATATAATCGTGTCCATACCTGTCGTCGTCCACCACCAAAACGTGTAACGCCTTTTTAGCCAAGTCCTCTTCAGTTATGTCGTAGAAAGTTAAGTTTTCGTTGAATTCTGGATTTCTTGAAGAAAAAGACAATAATTAAAAAAATGTTTTTACAAATAATTCAAAGTCAGGTGAGAATGTTTTTGGTGCAAACGATGGAAGAAAACCTTCTTTATATGTTGTTCTTTTTCTAAGCTTATTATTATTGAATTCCAGAATGATGGTTTGTGGCTACCAACTAATTTCTGCCAATCCATTATTCCATCCTTCCGAAATGTTTCATGTTCAACTTAAAGCAGTTCCAAAGTTTCATAGGATTTCTTCGATTTGCTTTTGCTGTACTTATTAGACTTTCCACCCAATTTTCTTCAGGAAAATAAGGGTCTTGGAGGGTTTTTAAAGTCACATAATGCCTTGACAATGTCCTTTTGCGAAACAAAGGCTAATGCCTCCATGGTCATCGAAATGATAACATATGGCTCGGTAGTTTGGCAATAACAGGAGCTTTCAGCACTACGTCAATAGCAGCTTTGAGGCTTCTCCTAGGAATTCCCCTTTTACATAGGTATCTATCTGGAAAAGGAAGCCCTAGAAACAACCTACAGAATATACCACACGAACAGAGATCAAGGGATGACAAAGGAAACGCGGAAGGCACCAAACTAGTCTACAAAACACACAGTGGACAGTGGTTTGGGAATACCTACGGACGTTATGCCAAGAGCACACACAACAAGCGCCTTGCCCTACCCTACACAGTGCCCTTCCCAAGAAGGGAAGTCTGGGTGAAAAATGCGCATGCTCTGCTAAAAGCAGATCAATGTCTATTCACGGATGGATCGGAGGCAGACAGTGGGGGCTTTGTGAAGTAGGCAGGCACACTTGAAGCACAAAAGTTAAATGTCACGTAATCATTTAGCGCTTCGTTAATGCTTCAATGTGCTTCAATCCCCAAATTAGCAACACTTGTATTTTCGGAGATATTTCGGGTTTTTGGAATCGATTGCGTACTTCACACCCAGTAGGAACAAGAGAAGCACCAACGTTCAGTTACAAATAAATGGTTAGTGCTTCGTTAGTGCTTCAATGTGATTGAATCCCCAATTCAGCAACCTTTGAATTTTCAAATAAATCCTGGTTTTAAGAAATCGCCTGCTTAGTTCACACATAGCAGGAACATTGGAAGCACTAACGTTTAGCTGTAGATAGCTGGTAAGTGCTTCGTTAAGGCTTCAATGCTTCGATCCGCAAATTAGCAATCCTTATATTTTTAGAGATATTTTGGATTTTAGAAATTGCCTGCCTGAGTACTTCACATAGATATATCTCAGTTTTTATAAATGGTCTACTCACTTCACACCCAGCAGGAACAAGGAAACCACCAAGGTTCAGTTACAGATAAATGGTTAGTGCTTCGTTAGTGTTTCAATGTGCTTCAATCTCCAAATTAGCAAGCCTTAAATTTTCAGAGATATTTTGAATTTTAGAAATTGCCTACCTGATTACTTCACACCCAGCAGGAGCAAGGGAAGCACCAACGTTCAGTTGTAGATGAATGGTTAATGCTTCGTAAGTGCTTCATGATGCACCACCTCAGCTTTTAAGAACTCTTGTACTTTTCGAGATATTTCGACTTTTTGCAATCGCCTGCGGATTTCACCCTACCGGGACCGGGAACCGGGAATATGAATAGCATAAACTCTGGTCTGAATTACTTATAGTAGGTTGCTTCCTAATACTTAGGCCGGTTTACTCATTTTCCGATAAACGTATTGGTAATTATCTACAAGACAAATTTGCCAATCGATAATCCTATTGGTCGACGTATAACTAGTCGATCAATACGATTACAGCTTCCGTTTTTTATCCGTCAGATATTATACCTAATGGTTTATTAGTATGTGAACAAACCGGGCCTTAGTTTCTCTTTTGACCATTCTTTATATTCATCTTCTCACAAATGTTATAGATCAGTACTAGCATGTCTTCACTTTCCTTTCCATCTTCTAAATTTGATGATTAACCAACACTTCCAAATTTTGGAATCCTTTTGCGTGTATCTTCTGGATCGATTCAAATTCCAAGATAAATGACGTCACTTTCTGCTCTTTGAAATAGTTACATTCAGGAGAAAGGCGTTTATTTTTAAGAATAAATGTGTAACTATCAATCAGTACCAGTCACGTTGCAGATATTCTGAATACAATTAAGTATGGTAGAGCTGTTCGACAAAGTAGTTTTCTTGAAGATCGTTGTTCTGTAGAGCAGTTTCAGCTCTTAACTGATTAATTGCAGAGATTGTTTCGTATTTTAAAAATTCCTTAAAGAAGGAAAAAAAAGGTGGCTCACTTTGAGCGAACGCCATCACTCGAATAGCAGAATGCACTTGAGAAGCATTGAAGGGACGTGTTTTGAATCTGAACTTTTTCTTCATCTTTAATCTACGCTACACAAAAAATATTTTCTGATAGCCAAGCGCTTAGCTCCACCTACTGTCAACAATTTGACAGAGGAGGAGCCGACACCCACTTCACAGGGCCAGAGCCAGATCAAACCATTGAAACCTGGGCGGCCGAACGTAGGCTAAACTCGGCTAAACCTGCCAAGGATGACACAAGCAAATGCAGTCATAAAAGACAACCGGTGAAAGGACGCTCGGTTGGAAGGATGCTGGAGCTCGGCAAAACTAAGCTTAAAACCCTAATCGGCTTATACACAGGATGATGTAGACAAACCGGGTAATACCATTGTTTGATGGGTTTGATACCAGGTTCTAACTCAATAACATGCTCTGCAGCTTTGCAACAACCCAATCCAGTTCCCATTAATGAAAATTTGGACTTAACTAAAATATCGAGCTGTGACATCTGATCTCTCGTAAGGGTTGATTCATCTTGAATGCTACAAATAGAAGGTGGCAACTGATCGTCTGTAGTAAAATGCCAAACATCCTGATGTAAATCCGGTACAATACCCATAGAGGTCCAAAAATCGACACCCAAAATTAATTTATGAGATAAATCAGGCAATACCAAAATATCAAACGTCTTAGTTTTATGTTTCAAAGTCAGAGGAACCTGGACATAGCCTATGCTGGAACAAGACTGACCATTGGCTACAGTACATGTGACAGTTTGTCTTATTAATTTAAGTCCTACTTTGAGCAAAATTTCATTGCCAAGCAAACCAACTATAGTCCTAGTAGCTCCACTGTCCAATAAACCCAATATTGGGAAACCAAGGATAAACAATTCAAGAAATGGACGCTGGTCGCCTTGTGCATGAGAGAGAATAGAATCTAGAACTAATTTCTTTGAAACAGCCAACGAATTATTAGTGGGGGTCATCAAATGGCCTAATGTCGATTCCCCCGGAATCCGTTTCCCGAACAATTAGGACAATTACGAACTGTAGTACCCACATTACCACATTTAAAACATTGTAACTTACGAGGCTGTTTACATTCCTTATTTGTATGTCCTACTTTCTGACAATTCCAACAAGTAATATGGCTTGAACCACGAGGCTTTTGTAAATTTGAATGGGAATTAGAAGTCTGTGCAACGGCAAGAACATCAGTTGGTGATTCTACACATGAAGTTTCCACAAAGGCAAAGTCAGGCTCGACTAAATTATTACGTTTACGCGGAGGTGGTGCGTAATGTTCCGCACGATATTTCTTTGAATCTAGCTTGAGACATTCCTTCTCTAACTCTTCCAAAGTGTCAACGACAGGAAGCTGGGTGGTATTAAATGGAGCCAAATTGCGAATAATAATCTCTAACTGAGCATCTGCAGGAACCATGCTATATCTACGAAACAGTGAACTCATGGTTGTCAAAATATTTACAATTCCCTCAGTTGCGTCTTGGGTTCGATCTAAAATCTCTCGGAAAAGTCGAGATTTGTAATCTAGAGGTTCATAGTGAGTTTTCAAAAGATCAGACAATTCACCCCAGTTTGGAAACCTAGAACGGTAGGCCCTAAACCAACTGAGTGCCTTCCCTGAAAACAAATCGATCGCTGAATGGAATAAATCACTCTCTGAGACATTTCGGGCAACACTCAGTTCATCCACTCTTTCTAAGAATGCATGCACTGACATGATTCTCAAATCACCATTAAACTTGACACCCCATTTTTGAACTGGTTCTACCTTTTATGAAATAGTATTGTTAACAGCAGGAGGAGCTACATGAGCAGGCGGATTAGAACGTGTAGATGTAGAAGTTTGAGCTACTGGATTATTAATGGCAATCGAATTATTTAATAAAATACTAATGTTAGGATCATTGACTGAAATATTATAGAGCTTATCAAGGAGAGCTAAAATTTCAGAAAGAAAATCACCGCGCTTGCTTAATTGTGACTGTGACAAATTATCAGTTGGTATATGATTAGTTCGACCCAAGAAGTGTATGAGTCTAGACTGATTAAGTTCAAATCGAGTTCCTGCATTTTCAGGAGACATACTTCGAATTCCATCAGAAATTTCCTTCAAAACTGATTCAATATAAGAAAATTCTGTATCAATGTCAAATCCATACCCACTGGAACTAACATTCAAATTCTGACCTACCTTTCAAAGTTTCAAGATTGCACGTAAAAAGCTACGGAGTTGATCTACAGTTTTTGAATCATCTACTGTGACACCTCGGATAACTAATTCATAAATTAGCATCTTTTTAAGATTATTGATCTTCATTTTATAATCCATATTGAAGTCCCTAAAATAATTACCCAAAGAGAGGGGGAAAAAAAAAAATAGAATTACTGACTCTATACCACAGTTCCAATATTTCAATAAAAAAAACCAATTGCAAATAGTTAGGTAAAATTGAAATTAATTTTCTTGAAAAAATAATCATTGACCTTTTCAATTTAGAAGCCTCTCTCTCTGGCGTCAGACTGTCAGATGCCAAAAGAGTATGAAAACAATGATTGACAGCTATTGACAGTGGTTTGTTGACAAGAGTTTTATACGTGTGAGACTGGAAACTATTATTTCCTCGGTTTTTTCAAGGTTTTCTCCTAACAATGGTGATTGTGTGTAGTGTGCCTTTTCGTGAAAATAAT